CTAGCAAAGACTCCCGCCAGCTTCCTCAGCATCCACGGGTGCATCCACCCATGCATGCATAATTTTTGGCATATACGTACCATACAAGAGAGGATTTCTTAAAATAATTGTTTGTTCCTAATGATAAGACGAATATTTTGACAAAAGTTCATTGAAATGAAAAACAATCACTGAATTCTTTGCATATTTTATTTTTCTTTTTGATTTCCAACTCACACACATCTGGCATATTTTACATCTTTGCAATAAAACATGGTTACAATAGCTTAAGGAATTTATATATCCAAAATATTTCACCATGATCTCAAGATGAAATGAACTTGTCTTCCAGATGTTCAATAGTCTCCCAATTCTAAGCTACAAACTCAAGATATTGCTTACAGACGGGTGATGAATAACTTAATCATTAGGCTGATCCCCGTGATTTCCGAATCTTTTAAATACAAACAACAATGAAGAAGGAAATTCAGTGCTAAACTTACTAATACAAGGTGGATAACAAATAAGTAATCACATCAATAAATAATGATATGTTTCTGGTGCAAAGTGCCAATACAAAGAATCCATTATCTTTTTAAATAAATGACTGCAAGTGAGTGTAAATTCTGAGAAAATTACATTCCTGTTACATGCCTCATAGCCCTACCGACACAATATGTACATCTATGACAATACAGTCACCAAATATACAAAGAAGAAACATGAATTAAAGTGTATATACCCCTGGGTGTGTAATTTGATCAGTACAATGTGCAGAAAATTATTCCGATAGTTATCATTACAGCATTGTAAAACATGAAGTGCCTTAGTCTGAGTGGCTTTGGGTGAGATTTTCAGAAGAACCAAAATTAGTAACCTCAGTCACCTTTACAATGAAGCTAAGGCTGTCAAATAAACCAAGCTGCTCAGAGCAAAAATAAGTGAAAAAAAAAAAAATCACTGTGGGCTCTCTTGCCCGTGATTTGTATGCCAAATGTTAACAATCCAGAAGTATAGCACTTTGTCTGTATTGGGAATCTTTAAGCATTGCAAAGCATTAAACTGAACTTCCCTCTTTGCTCCCTTTCTGTCTAGTCTTGAATTTAAAAGGGAGGAATTTAATTTCTATTGTATAAAGTATAAATATGGCAAATGATGGCTTTTTATCCAAACACTTCATGAGCTGAACTCGAGTTAAGAGGGGTAAAGTTGAGATTCAAAAAGTGAAAAACGTGTTGGTGGAAATGGCAAAATTACTGTTTGCACCCAAATTCAACCCTTTAACACAAGCTGTACCCTTAGGCAGATCTCCAGTTTGATTTGTGTGAATGGACCTGCTCCTTCAAGACATCAGGTTTAAAGTACATGCAAGTTGTAACTCCACAATAAAATTAAGAAACAGTTTTGTTCTTTATACAAGGTTTTACTTTTACAAAAGTATCCCTTTAAAGTTAAGATGTGCATCTGATGTACAAAGTATCAAACGTATTTTTTTTAATCTCAGCTTGAAAAGAGGCTGGAGATGGGATGCATGTTAGGTTCAAAGCCTAAACGTTGAAATAACTGGACACAAGTTCCCCAGAATTTTCAAAAGTCTCTTGTGGCGCATCCTACTACCTTTTCTCAATAAACAAAGATATATGAAATAATTACCAAAACATCTCCTAATTCATATAATTTACATGATACAAGCTTGCTTTTCAGCAGCTGGTGATCAGTTGTGAAAAAACACACAAAGTAAAATGGTCGCTGACTACAATGTACAGCTATTGCTGGGTGTAATGGAATGTACAACGGAGGTCAATGCAGACGTGGTTTTCCACCAGAGACTACACCTTTCATTGCAGCACTTGTGCTCTCAGCTTTATCTGGGCTTTCAGTTCTTCATTCCACTTCAGTATCTGTTCTGATGTTCATAATGCCACCGGTTAAAATCTATATTAAAAGCTACGATGCTGCCAGAAGCCATGCCAGTAATCAGTGTTCTGAAAAACGCAGAAAAGATGGTCCTGTTAATCCTCTTTTAACTTCTCAAACAATTATTTGCCATAAACAGTAAAAAAGCTAAAAGAACGAGACCCTTTTGCAACACTGAGATAAAGCTCATGGCTGGGACTCAGTATGCAACAGAGATGTTACATTTAGGTGACGACATAAGAGCCATGTTTCGCTTATGGTTAAGGGAGATCTAGAGGCCCATTCATTTGCCTTCACACAGGTAAAAGCACCATATCATATGAGATGCTCTCGTATATCCCTCCTTGCCTCCAGTTGCCTCTCCAGGAAGGTGTGGGTCTTCACTAGGTATGCCCAGGTATGCACTTTAGGCCTTCAAGATGATCTCTAAGGTCCCTTCCAGCTTAGGCCATTCTATGATTCTATGATCTCAGACAGTACTAACTGGCTATGGGTAGGCAATCGAATCAGTATCTAATCAGTATCCCCAATGAAGCCTGAGAGCAACTCTCTACAGGTCTCTGGGCACATACTTTAAGGTGAGCTTGATCGTCCTCTAGACAAAATCACAGAATCACAGAATTTCTTTGTTTGAAAAAGACCTTTAAGATCATAGAGTCCAACCATTGCCCCTGCTCTGGCAGGCGGATTGGGCTAGATGATCTTTTGAGGTCCCTTCCAATCCCTAGCATACTGTGTGATACTGTGACTAACGTAGCACTGCCAGGTGACCCCTGAATCATGTCCCTATGCAATAGATCAACACATTGTTTAAATATCTCCACGGACGGTGATTCCACCACTGCCCTGAGCAGCCTGTTCCAATGCCTGATGACCCTTTCAATGAAGAACTTCTTCCTAATATCCAGCCCAAAGCTCTCTGGCACAACTTGCAGCCATTTCCTCTAGTCCTATCCCTTGCTACTAGGGAGAAAAGGGTGACTCCCTCCTCTCTCCAGTTGCAAAGAGCGATCAGATCTCTCCTCAGCCTCCTTTTCTCCAGGCTAAACAACCCCAGTTATCTCAGCTGTGCCTCACAAGCATTGTCCTCTGGACCCTTTGCTATATTTGTTGCCTTTCTTTGGACACACTCCAGAACCTCAATGCCCATCTTGTCGTAAGGGGCCCAAAACTGAACACAATACTCAAGGTACAATCTCACCAGTGCCAAGTACAGGGAAACAATCACTTCCCTAGTCCTTATGGCCACATTGTTTCTAACATAAGCCAGGATGCCATTGGCCTTCTTGGCTGCAAGCTGTAGCAAGCAAATCACCACAGTTATTACAGGAGCTTATTCCTGTAGCTCACATGAAGACATTTGTGCTCACCTACCTTCATTCAGTTCTTTTGGAACACAGCTGCCTAATTTTAGCACCTCATGCCACTGGAGGTGCCCCAGACACCTCTATGCTGGCTGGCAGCTGGGGCACAGGACCTGCAGAGCCCTCGGCGCTTGGGGCTGCAGCTGGGATCAGCTGGATATCCCAGGGCCTCCCAGACAGAATGAGATGCCTCCACAAAGACAACTGAACAGATCCCTTAATTATAAGCTGGTCACACCTTGGTACTCCCAAAAACCTCATATTGAAATGCAGCCCCATATTTACATTGTTCTAGTGGCAATAGCTGAGGTGATTTTCCACTTATCACATATCCTCTAATTTTGGTAGCTGAGTTTTAAAATGGGATTAGATATCTATCACCACTTCTATCAAACCATACAAAAGCCATTCTCTACTTCATTATATGACTCTAAGCAGGTAGTTAAAGTACTTTGCACAGCTGGGTCTTCCCAGCCTGGTATTACAATAAAGGATAGAGAAAATAGGCTAGCTGATTTTTTTTTTGTGGTATAAATAAATCTCTTTGAACAGAGCACAGAATGAATGCATAAACTGGCAAAGTTCCAGAGGTGAACAGGCTTCTTCCAGTAAGTTATCTTCAATTAGACTAACCTTGAGACACAAATCTTGTTTCAAGTCATTTATTCATATATGAGTAAATCAGGTATGTGTTTTGTTTATAGGTAATTTTGTTGCTTTACAAAATAGATACATAGCATATGAGTGCTGAAAAGTGTAAGAAAAAGAAAATTAAATGAATGCTGTATGATTTTTCTAATATCCTGTGAATTTATTGCACGTCATGAGTTTGTATATTAATAAGAAATACAAGATTGATGCCTGATGTGAACAGCAAATCCACTCACAACCCTGCATAAATGCAACATATAGGCTTACATTATAATCACATTACAATAGAAAATTGAGGGACTAAGTTCATATATCTTTTACATTTACAGTGTGCATTTTAGAGCCATAGCAGTGACTGAAAACAATTTAGCCTTCTAAACCACATCGCCATTGCTCAAGAAGGTAAAAGGGAAGGATCACATTGACTTCTAGCAGATAATATTACACACTATAGTTTAGATGAAACCCCAAGAAGTTATCAAGCTCTACATAGCTGAATATCAGAAAGGCACCACATATATTTGTAACTGGTTTTAAGGCATTTGTTAATAGGCAATCACTGCACTTCAACCCATTCTGACTATTCTTATGTTCTTAAGTTAATGTAATTTTACTTTTTTATTTTTTCTTCCCTGAGTCTCTGGTTTACTGACTTCAATAGTATAAGACCTCACTTTAATGTTAAACACTTGCACTATGAGACTCAATGATCAGAGAAAACACCAAATCAGATAAATCAACCAGATAACAACTGGGGTAAGGTTTACTACCATATCCTGTTAGTGAATTCATACCATAAATATGTACACTTTGTGCAATTTTTACCATTTACATACAAATCTAATGACAAACTCACCTCTGATCATGAGACAAATCCATAGCTCTTATGCCAGCATCACAACCAGGGTAAATATATAGCTGCTTGAAGTCACAGGCCTGCCATACTTCCACTACACCATTGTCTCCTCCTGTCACCAGGTTCTGCCCATCACTGCTCAGGAGGATGGCCTTCAGGGGAAAAAGACAAAAGCCCACAGTTAGCTTTTTACAGAAATGGGTCAATATTACAAAAAAAAAAAAAAAAAAGCAACTTCTAAGAATTTCCTTCACTCTGCTCACTTCAAATTTGAGGAAGAAACCTCCCACTCCTCTTCCTCCCCAGTCAAGAAACAAACTAACAAATTTTGGGTTTCTGATTTTAAAATAAAGCAATTGTGTGGTTTTAAACAGGATATATGAGCAAAAAGCTCTTTAACTGAATCTGCCCAAACTCAAGCTCAACACATAACATTTCAGTGTTTGTCCTACAAAACTCAGTGCCATCACTAACACCTAAAGCAGAGCAGCGAACTGCATTCCTAATGCTGCTTCAAGTGCTAGTGCCAGAGCAGAGCCCTGAGGCATGAATTCATGTCTTGGCTAATAAATGAAGAATGGACTCTTCAGAGCATTTTGTTTTAAAGACATATTTCCCACTGAAATTTAATTCCAAAGAAAAATTCCAGGAATTGTGTGGGATCATAAACAATTTGTTCTTATTTATTCTGGGAAAGCTCAAGTGCATTTTTGCATTCGGAAAGGATCTGGTTTTGAATATAACTTTAACAGGAGGCAGCAATTTTACATATGTGATTTCCTTTAAACCATATGGCAAATAAATTCAATTTATTTTAATAAATGAAGGCGAGACACAACCAATGTTTGTTTGCATTTAGGTTTACCCTGGTTGAATCATTGATCTCCATCTGAGCTAAGAGTTTGCCGTTAATGCTGAAATTGCTGAATCGTCCTCGTTCATAGTAGATGATGCAGTGACCTTCACTAGATACTGAAATTAAGCGAGGATACAAGCAGTTTTCTGTTCCTTCCAGGGCTCTCAGCAAATCTCCAGTAATTGTGTGTACCAGACAAGGACCTTCTGTATATGAAAATATAATATATCATGTATTTGCTGCTTATACAAACTACACTGTCTATGCACAAAGGCAATGCATAATACACATTTATATCACATTAGTCCTGCATAGATGTAGGAAGATGCAATGTTTGCTTAAAGAATTTAAAGTATGCAACAGAAGGAAACGCAAGAGCTAACATATTAAGAAAACAGATACAACATGCCTAAAAGTGATAGTTTATTATTTACTTAAACAGGTAGGAGTTTTCATTGATCTGTCTTCTAAAATATTTCTTCGTATTCCCAAGCATTCAGAAACCTCAGTCTTACTGCTTTCCTCCAGCAACATGAACTCTCTTTAGCCTGCCCATTCATATTAAACAGATGGGGCCCTATCAGTGACTAGTGGGAGCAACCCCCAGAGGGCACATAATCAGATCACTGCATATTTCTCGCATAGACAGTGGCAGTTCCTGTAGGTCCTCTCCCTTGTTATATGCATAGATCTCATTCCTCAATTGTTTTAACAATGGGAGTCATGTGACAGTCAAATGAGTTACCATGATATCTGGACTCCATGAGCTTTTAGGAGACCAGACTATAACTTCATTTACTGCAGAGACATTTTAATATGAGATTTCAATATATTTTTATTACTGCTGATGCAAGAAAAGGCAGCTATGACATCTACAATGTACCTTTTAAGATGCAAAACTAGGTTATTTCCATTTCAAGATCTGTGAGAGAAGCTCTTTTGAAAGTGCAATCTGTATTCCTACTAAGAAAAAGAGTCTCTTCTGTAATAAATGTAATGAGTCATGGTAAATACTAAATGTTTTCTTTTATGAATCATGGCATAGCCCTGGACAGCACAGTAATCTCTTCTGTATACAACTGGCTCATGACCCTGAAAATAAATTCATGCTGACGACTCAGCCACCTTCTAACTTTTCTGAAGTTCACACGACAGCTGGGTTTGTCCAGGCAGAACGAATCACAGCATCAGTGCATTCATCTGCGAGACCTTTCGTACAGAATTTTACCTCCTTATGCAGAGAGACCTCAAGTCTGATGGAGTCCATGGGATAAGAATGCAATGGAATTAATTTAATTTCTAAAATAGTTGAGTTTCAGTTTTGGAAATACTGAAGTCATAGACTCATAGAATGGCCTAAGCTGGAAGGGACCTTAGAGATCATTTTAATCCAGCCTCCCTGTCGCTAGGGACGCCACCTCTCGACTAGGTCAGGCAACACGTGGGGACCAAACGGGAATCGAACCCGTGACCTTAGTGTTGTTAGCACTACGCTCTACTGACTGAGCTAACTGGCCCGCTAAGTGCCAGAATGTTGTGAGAAGTGATGCCTCCACCTTTAGAATAATTATTATGTTATCTTTTTCATAGCTGAGGCACAAAGAAAATTTGATTTAGGATGCCACTGTAAAGATACACAGACTGACTGCTCTTTATTGGGTTTGTTGGATAAGAACATGCAAATATCAACCTGATGCACAGGCTCCCCAAAGCCCCCCTCAGGGGGGGAGCGCAGGCAGAGCCCAGGTGAGCCAGCACCACTGTGAAATGCAGTCTACAAAGCTGGAAAGGACAGAAACTGAAGAAGTCGCTTTGAAACAGGCATCTGCTGGAAATCAGAAATAAAGAAGGGTTTTTTCTCTGCATTTGTATATGGGTTAGAGTTTGAAGAGGAAGAACATGAGTAACTCAGGGGCTAGACTGGGCCTCCATGTCTCTTACCAATTATAAACATATTCTGCATTTGATGTAAAAGTATTTGGTCCTCCAGCAGCCTTTACTTTTAAAAATATATGTTACCAAAGCATCATATACTTAAAGAAACAGAAGATAACTGAGTTCAGGTTCCAGATACTTTAATAAGAGGAAATCTGCAAAAAAAATTTAGTTGGAAAGTGTACACGATTAAAGAAGTAAGATTGTATAAATCTGCCTTAAAAGATAAGAAATAGCAGTACTGCAAGAAAAAACTTTAGGGTCATCATTACTGTACATTTTTTCATAAATGTCTTGACTTCACCTATGGCTATTATGTAGTATGTCATTATGAGAGTTAATGACCCATTTGGATCTCCTGTTAAAAATGCCTTTAGTCAGAAGTTTCACATTCAGCTTTGAAAATACATGTTGAGCTCCAAAGCCGTATAAAAGGTGATAACCCAGGAGCTCAGCTGAGAGCAGAAGTGGGTAGAACAAGCCTCACATCCTTCTTACCCTCAGAGCAGGAAACTTGTTGAAAACAAGGATATCCATGGGTATAAGTAAAACAGGCATCGCTATAGATAGAGAAAGCAAGTGGCTGGATGTGGATGTAGGAGTGGAGTGGAAATGAGATAGGAACATATATGAGGAAGAACCTTAAGGAAGGACAAGGGTAATGTAAAGAGGGGAGAAAGTGTAGCACAAAAAAAAACTAATAGAGAGGGAGAAGCACAGGAAGGCAAATAGGAAAGAAAAGAGAACAAGACATGCATTTTGCCAAACTGAGAAAAGAAGCTGAACGAGAGAGGACAGTGGACATGAAATTAAGGGGAAAAAGAGCAGATAGGAAGAACAGGTAAAATGAAACAAAGGAGAAACAGAGTAAGGGAAGGTGAAGCAAACACACATTGAGGTGAGTGCTTCATTTATGTTTATTACCACTTATACAGGAGACTGCTGCAGTTTTGGAAAGGTGTTTTGAGTATTTGTATTAGGAATTGCTGGATGCTCTGGATTCCATTGATAAGTAATAGGGAGAAAGTGTGAATAGATGGCTCAGAAAGTTTAAGAGAGGCAACAACAAACCTGCAAACTCCTCATTATTTGAAATCCACTACAGAAAAAAAGCTACTGGATTAAATGCTGTCCACAGGCCCAAACCCAAGTAAATTGATGCTGCTTGCCTTGCCGAGGAGACTGAGGTCAGTCCTACAAGCTGCCACTCAATTAAGATCTCGGTGGAGAACTCTGAGTTGGCCCTCCTCTAAATGCAGGTCTCTATCAACAGGTTTCTTCAAAATCAGTAGATATCATTATGAATTATTGTATAAATTTTTATCAACTGCTTTTTCAGATTTGGGGGAAATAGTAGCACAGGGTGATGGCTAGAAGGAAAAAATCAACTTAATTTGTGCCTAAACCTTTTAAGTCCAGGTAATAAGTAATAACATTCAGAGTAAACTGCTGCAGATTACCCCAGAACTACAACATGTCTTACTAGATGGGACTTTGGAAAATTAAAGTATATGTAGCTCGAGGGAAGGCTGAGAAGTACCACTAAAAAAGGCTCTAAAAATATTAAGACTTAAATCATAAAAAAATATTTCTGACCTTTAGCACCACTGATAACAAGTCCCAGCTCTGCACAGACCGACACGCAGACAACTTCATGGTCGTGACCAGTGAGAACAGCACGAGGAGCTGGATAATCACCTGTTAATAAATAAATAAATAAATGAAACAAGAAGAAAAATGAAAAAAAGGAAACAACAGATGAATGCCCAACCAGACCTGTTTCATCAGCAAAGAACTTTGCTGTAATTTGCCTTATATCAGTAAGCATCAGAGAGGTGCAGTGTGGTAAAATATCTCATACTTAGCAAAATACATTCAAATACGATAAATTTTCATACGCAAAATTTCCAAATGCATTGATTCATACATTAAGAAAAAGCAAACTTCTTTGGTTCAGAAATTATGGACTGCATGCTGTTTACAATACAGAAATGATAAAAATACGTCGCTGGTTTATAACCTAAAAATACTGGAAAGGTATATTTCAGACAAAGAACACAAAGTGTGGGGGTATTAAAGGCAGCTGTAATGTAAAGGCCTGTTACTGAACGTGTATGTCTCTAGATTTCTGCTAGGAACCTATGTTCCTCTATTAATGATCATACTTTGTTTCATGAAACTGGTGGTTGGAAAAGACGAGAAAAGAAACTGATACAACAAAAGAAGGATACAACTGTTGCATAGACATTCTTGATTCAGAGACACATTGCATGCTTATAGATTAGAATTATATCTAAAAATGGTTATGGGTATATATAACTTTTTATATATCCCTATGGATACCTATGCCATTTGTATAACATTTAATTTATTACAGAGTAGGATAGATTACTCCCTAAATAAATATTTTTTATATTCATGAGTGAAATGTACTTTATTTTGGGCTCAAAGAAGCGGGCATTTATGGAGTGTTTATATGACAAATAGCACCATTTCTGTTGTTTCTAATAATAACAGATGCTGACATCTTCACAGTGAAACTCCTATACGCAATAAGCAAGTGCTCAATATTTGATATTGCTTTGCCAGGCAAATAAAGTTAAGCAGTAACAAAAAAATTAAAAACTTTCTAGATAACATAGACTTCATCTGGTTATATTTACTTTGTACAAATGAAATATAGAAAATTAGGAAATTCCACAGGACTGGAGCTCTGCCAGTGTAATTTAAATACTTTAAAAGGATAAATGAAATTACCTAGGGAACTACAGATGAATTACTATAACATTAATCCTATGCAAAATAACAAAATGGTTAATCCACAGTCCTGTTGACAAAGAATTGGAAGCAAAAATCTCATTAATGCCAGTCACCAGGCTGTACTGGAATGAGACTCTTGTCAAGCAAGCTTCTTATCTGTTTTTGACAGAATAACAGGTATCATTGATAAAGATGGCTATGTTAAAAAGGGCTCAGTGTATTTTTTGTCAAGATATTTGTCTTAGCAATACAATGTTTTACATGGACCTGACTGTGGACAACATGGATGGCACAGAAGCTGTTTCAGTGACAGGTCTTAAAATTTTTTATCCATAGGAACGTATCTACTGTGAGCTACATATTGGGATATTTGAAATTAGGATGTCCAATTAGGAGCTAGGAATTCACTCTCAACTGAAGAGTAACCAATAATGTTAGATGCAGGATGATATAAAATCTTTGCTTGTATGCAGGATGATATAAAATCATTGCTGGTAAGATATGGTTGTATACAAAAGTGATGCAAAGGCTCACAGGCAACTGCATAATGGAAAGAGAAAGTCACTATTATAACATTATCCACATTGCCCAGTTAAAAGAAAAGAAAAAGAAAGCAAAATGTGTTTATTTATTGTATTTATTTTGAATGCAGTCAGGTGGAATATTGATGCTCCTGCACAAGCACAAGCTCTGCTCGCTGGAGAGAAGATTCTGCTCTGTAAGGCAATGAGATAGAGAAGGATTTAAGGAGCCAGAAAGGAAAACTCCCTCAGCATTAACTTTCAGTGCTATGCCCTAGAATAGCAAATAGGAGTTGAGAACTATGTTGCCACTGGAGATTACAAAGATTAAAGTCTTGTACCCACATTTACAGAAATGAGTTTAAAGGAGGGTCACAAAACTGGCATACAGATTAAGACAGGAGGCTGCAGAGTGTTTAAAGTGTTTTCGCTCTTCACTGCACCAGCAGCAAAGCAGGGACTTGACCACCATATCTGGGAGTCACAGTCATAAAAGGTGTCCAATAGCCCAGAAATTTATCTTGCAGCTAATGGCACAGCAAGGTCCAGTGAGTGAATGTCTGCACAGATCCTGCAATAAAATTCAGTTTTGTAACTGGAAAAAAAAAAACCAGTTAAATACTAAAACACATTATAAAAGGAACTACACGAGGAGCTAAGTAATATTGCATGGGTTTCTGAAAGGTATGCATTAGGAATGGAGGCTTGAACAGGCATTTGTGGGTCAATGAATTTAGTCTTTTTTATTGCAGACACTCAAGTCATATTCACCTGGTTATAAATTAATGAAATGGCTACCTGGGTATGTCACTTGTGAGGATGTTCCAGAGCTTTCCAACTCTAAAGGAGGGAAATATTCCAATTTTTAGTGTGAATTCATTCCTGTCCACCTCGTATCTCTTTGTTGTTGTGTCAGTAATGTCCAAATCTTCTCCCTCTCTTGTGTTTTCTCTACTCGTGTACTTACAGAATACAACAACTCTCTCGGCCTTTCCATTTGACTCTATTAAACAAACCAAACTCTTATAAACTCCTTTGAAGTGAGGCGCTTGCCGTGTTTTAGTCATTGTAGCAACCTATTTCTGTGCCCATCTAGCACCAAGTTCTTCCTTAAAATTTGAGTAACCATAACTGTATACAACAATAGTTCTTAAAAATGTAGATGCTTTCTCTATCTCGTCAAAGATTAGCTATAATTTTAGATTTAGATTTTTACAATTTCCTCATTAATGTTGCTGTTAAGAACTCCGCCTCCTTCAGAGGTCTTCTTTCCTCCAAGGGCAAAGTGAAAAACTACGCAATTCAACTAAATTCAGAATTTTCCATTTTTTTTGTTTTTGTATTCCTGGGAAAAAGAGGAATTATGCTCCAGGGTCATCTAGACTTAAGGTCTGATTACAGAGGTGTATACAGTAGTGTCATCAGACATGAATGAATGAAATTATTAGTATGAATGAAATTAATGAAATTATTAGATAGATAGATATTTTTTAAATCAAAGGAAAAAATAGATTTTTCAAAAACACATTTTTCTCAATGTTTCCTAGGAAAATATTAAAATATCATGAAATTGTAAAATGTCAGAATAAGAAAAATAATCATATTTACTTGACTTCTTGATTTATAAAGGAAAATCCTTATAAGGAATAACTGCCTTGAAACATAGATCTTTGAGCCCTGTTTTTCAGTAAATACAAATAAATAACAGAATATAATTATTAGGAGTAGCAGTCCAGCAGTAATTGAAAATGGGTTTTTCCCCCTTAGGGCTCAAGGAAAAAATTATTCAGTGATATTTTCTACAGGACAAGCTGTGGCATGGGGAAGAGAACCTCAGTCATAATACATTTTATTGCTAAGGACAGAAGTTGTGAACTCCAGGAATCATTTAAAATCTAGCAAAATATTCTGTCACTGTCACATCACCACTGATAGATGCAGCCAGAGGTCAAAGGCTGCAGCTCTAAGGGAATTGCAGGTGAAAATACCCTACCTATGAAGTGAGATACCATCACTGTAAACTCCCTGTAATTTCCCCAAAGGGGCACCTTTGAACCGAATTACTGGAGGGCAGAAGGAAAAAATAACAATAATCTGTGTTGTATTTCCAAACAAGTAAGTTTTTCTACAAAGTGTAAAATAAAATAAATTTTTCCATCTCTCTGAAAAATATAACGCTTAACATTATTATAAGGTTCTTCTGGAACAAATGGTGCTCTTGCATGGTAAGGAAACAAAAGAAAATGAAAACTAAGAGAATAGACAGTGTTACTATTTCTCTTATATTGTCCTTTTCCAGGAATTATGTACAGACTGATAAATGGACAAATCTAGAAGTCCTCTGTATAAAGAAGCATGAGAAGACAAGACAAAGTCCAGCTTCCACTTCATCTCTGACTTTGATGGAAACGGAATTATTTGCTGACAATTATTTACTTTACTACTTACATTACTATTAACATTTCTGAGGGTATACTCATCAGAAAAAAATAATTAGAAAATACTTAATGGAAGTGAAAATGTAATAGCCTTCTTGAATTTTTACTGCCAGGAAAAAACATCTCGGAGCTTGATGAAAAAATAACGCTATGACCAACAAATAGGAATATGTCAAAATCGGAAATAGCCAATAACAATGTCCACAACATGAAGGAGCAATGGTTGTAAAATAAAGACTGCCGACAGAAAAAAAATATTCATATATTCAAAATATTTTCACCACTGGCAGATCTGGTTTATTTGCTGTGGAATGTGAGCAACAGCGCATGTATCTATAACAAATTCATCCAGGTGAGTGGAGTTTTGGGTACCTTGCACCTATCCAGACCTCAAAAGTAACAATACAGTGAAGGAGAGGAGAATAAGGATTTGCCGCTTCCCTTTCTATTTCTTCCACTAAGTTGCTTCGGGAACTTTGGGAAGTTGCTGAAGAACCCTGCACTGTAGAGCTCACATGGGGTAAGGAGCAAAGAATGGGCACAGACATCTGTTGATAAAATGCTAGATACAACTACATTAGTTCAGGTGTGTTATTGGCTCATTTACCTTCGCGTAGCAGTGTTAGGAGATAGTGGTCTTTGGACATCAGAGTAGAGACAGTGGCAGTAAATATTACACTGTAGTTTTCAAAGAGCTTCTACTCTGGCAGAACAGTGCTAAAATACCATATTCACAAGTATCGTAGTAACTCTTTAAATAGGTAAAGCAAATTCTATGCACAATGTACTTGCACAGGACCTTCAGACAGCCCACCAGCACACTCAGTACAGATCACACTGGTGGCTATTTTTAAACTGCTATCCTTTCAAGGTTAAACTAGGTCATGTTATAAGGTATTAAAATGTAGAGGGATATAATAGAATAACTGAATATTCTGAGTTCAGAATAACTAATCTTTCAAGATGTAAACTCCCCAAA